TGGATGGATGGATGGATGGATGGATGGGTGGGTGGGTGGTGGGTGGATGGGTACATGGATGGGTGGATGAGTGGATGGACGGATGGATAGATGGGTAGATGGATGAATAGATGATGAATGGCTGGCTGGCTGGCTGAGTGAATTCACCTGCTCACTGCCACCCAAGCCCGCACCCAGGCCCGCACCTGGATGTACAGATCCACCAGCTCATTCTGGCGCAGGATGTAGTAGATCTTCCCTGCCTGCAGCCAGGCATATGCCTCCTTTTCCTTCTTCTGCAGGTCGATGAATATGCCCAGGCTCCGCTTGGTGTAGTCGAGAGCGGATTTGTAGGCCCTGAAAGTAGACAAGACTGTCACAACCAGAGCTGTGGGTCACTCTGCTCATTCCCCTGTGGTAGTGCTGACAGACATGCCTGGTGCATGGGGACCAAAGGGACCCTCTGCTGCAGCTGGTGTCCTGCCCTCCCCAGCATACAGGGGGTCCTTGCACTGGGGAAGCATGGCACTGGCCCCTGCCCATCCCATGGTGCAGTGCAGCCCCAGGGACATGTGGCTCTTTTCCCGCTCTCAGTGAGTCCCCACGCCAGACAGCGCAGCTTCTGCCGGGCCTGAGGCTTGGTCAGGATAGCTGGTCACGTAAAGTGACATGCCTGGGACCTGACCCTGAGACTCAGAAACTGCAGAACACAGGGCCACTGTTGTGTCTGTGGGGACAAGCTGCGCCAACAGCTGATAGCTCACCGCAGGCCGAGGTCAGCTTATAAGAGCTACCACAAGCAGGGCATGTGGCACACACCTATCGTCCCAGCAGTCTGGGAGGCTGAGGCAGGAGGAGCTCGAGAAACCTACCAATTTAATGAGACTGCCTCAAAAATAAAAAAGAGCCGGAGATACAGCTTAGTGGGAAGGGCCTGCGTTCATTACCCAGTACTGCAACAAGCAAGTAAACACACTGCTCGGGCGGGAAGGCTGGCCTGGAATTCTGTGCCTTGCTCCTGAAGGGATGAGCTGGTAGGCAGTGGAGGTACAGGAACAGAAATGGGGTCTCGGCATCCAGGGGGAGGCTGAGCCGAGCCCATGTCACAAACAGTAGCCAGGACAACCCCAGCCAGCCCTGCAGGTCAGGGATCGCTGACACTAAGAGTGCCTGTGGACCCAAGCAGAGGGGCGATTTGTACTGGCCACCACCGTGGCCCTAGCCCTTACCGCTCGGTGCCCAGCGACAGGTAGAGCTGGCTGATGGCCTCCAGGAGCTGCCCCTCCAGCACCTTGTCAGCTGTCCTCCGGGCCAGTGTGAGCTGGAACTCGAGGTAGATGGCGCACTGCGCCTCGTCGGGTGCAATGCGGCTGTAGAAGTGGCAGAGATGCTGGACGGCCTGCAGCTGGCCTGCGTGCAGAAGGAAGTTGTCACTGCAAAGCCCCGCAGTGGCCAGGTATGCGGCCAGAGCTCTGGTGGGGGCTCTCTGTCCTCTCCACGCCTCTGTTCCAGGTCCTCGCAGATGCGGAAACTGAACCCAGAGACTGGCTACGAGGCCTGACCCAGGGGTGGCACACTGGGCAGGGCCCAGGGACAGCACTGACCATCGTTAACCATCATGATTAATCCCACTCATGGGGTCTGGCCAGGTGCCACCCTTTGTGGCCAGGACGGGGACGACTTCTAGCCTGAGCCAAGGGCCAGGGTGTGACTTTCCTCCCGCAGATGGACATGGACAATTGGAGGGCAGCAACACAGACAACCACGGGCTAAGGCCACATGGTGGGCGGCACAGTCAGGACCTGCATTCCAGTGCCAGAGCCATCTAACTCCAAATCACAGGTTCAGTGGCTGCTACTGGAACTAGTGCCGAATGGCAGGGAGACCTGCCCTAGAAGTCACCCAAAGACCAACCAGGAAACAGAAGGCTTCACCCCACTCCACACCAGCTGGACCCAACACGCAGCCCTGAAACACCTGCTGGCAATCAGCCCTCTTCAGCCGGGCCGTATGGAGGGCTGCAGGCTGTATCTCAGCAAAAAGAAAAGGCTGGGTGCACACAGAACATGTTCTTTACTTATGCTGAGTGAAAAGGGAATCAGAAACAGATTGCCAGGTGTGGTGGTGCATGCCTGCCTGTAACCCCACACTCAGGAGGCTGAGGCAGGAGGACTGACACAAGTTCCAGGCCAGCCTGGACTACATAGTGAGTTCAAGGCCAGTCTGAGCTACATAGTGAAACCCTGTCTTAAAAAAAAATTGCCAGACACAGGGGCACATGCCCGCCACCCAGCTCCTTGGGAGGCTGAAGCAGGGGGATTGAAAGTGCAGGCCCAGGCTGGGCAACCTGGTGAGATCCTGTCTTGCATAGAAGTTAGCAAGCCTGGGGACGCAGGTCAGCGGCAGCACACTCTCCTAGTACAAGTGTGGCCCTGACTTCCAGCTCCACTACCACAAAAAAGAAAGAACAACTTTCAAAACTAGAACCTAAATTTGTGCCTTAAGAAACTAGAGAGTTAGTTAGTCTCACAGGGAACCAAAGGAAGAAAATAAAGACGATCAGAGAAGAAATAATAAATGAGAACACAGAGAATAGAAGAAGAACATGGAACCAGAAGCTGGCTCCTGGAGATGACGAGGACACGGGCAAACCTTTCACCTGGCTGATTGGGAAGAAAGCAGAGATGACGCAAACTGTTAACACCAGGCCAGGAGTGCGCGCAGGGCAGGAGCGAGCCCTGGAAATCAGCCGGCGGGGCGGGGAGCCACTCCTGGGCACACACGGCCGGCTAGCGGCGGGCAGCCAGGGGTCCCCAGCTCCCAGGTCCTCCTCCGCGCTTCCAGGTCTGACTCTAGCATCTAGGCTCACAGGCGCATGTGGCCAGGACCTGCTGGAGGTGGCTGGGACCTCCTGAGGACTCGGAGGGTCCCCTCCTGTCAGAGCCACCCGTCCCTCAAGACTACTGCTGGGGCGGAAGGCCCTGGCCACCACCCTCCTCTCTCCACGGCCTGGTCCTGTGCGTACTCCCTATAGCTCTGTCCCTGCAGGGGCCTGTGCTCAGGAATGAGCAGAGGTGGCCAGGGCCCCGGGACCCTGGGGGGGGCTGAGCCAAGCCTTCTCGTATCGGAGCCATAAACGATCCCGGGGGTGGACAAGGACCCAGGGCAGAGAGGATGAACAGCACTCTCTGGTCAGATCTGTCCTGCAACCCCGATTGACCCTCGGGCACGCTCCCAGCTGTCCCCATGCCTGGACCCCTGCCGCCTCTGCCAGCCCGCTCATCCCACCTCATCTTCACCCACTGCGCACAGCCACGGTAAGAATGCTGCAGCACTGGATGGTGCCCCAGTGTCCCTCGGGACAGCCAAAGCACAGCCTGGGGCCCCAGGGCCCTGCGTGGCACCCCTGACAGAGGCCCTGCCTGCACACCAGGGAGCCTCTCTGTGGCCTCAGGGTCCTCCAGGCAGAGGGCGTAGGAGTGGGCATGCAGTGAGCGGAGGCTGCAGCAACGCCTGGAGCCCCGGCAGCGGGGACCAACATTCCTTCTGGCTGCAGAGGCCTGAGCCTCCACGGAGGAACAGGGAAGGCCACCGGTCCTGCTGCAGGAGGTGAGAGTTGCGTGTGCCCCAGGACTGCCAGCCCTCCCAGCCCTTGGGTCTGGCCCCATGTGGGGACGGTTTGCCACACAGGCCTTGCGGACATCTGCCAGTGTCCACCAGCCAGCATCTTGGAGGTGGAAACCCAGCCCCGGCTGTGGGCGCTCAGCACGTCCCTAGGTATGCTCTGAGCAGCTTCGGGAAAACCATGGTTCCATTCTGGGAAGCCAAGAGCCCCCCGCAGACCCAGGGGGCTTGGGCAGGGCTGGGGTGGCACTTACTCTCCAGCTGGCCTGTCTCCATGGCGACCAGAAACGCCCACAGGTAGTAGCACTTGCCCTGTTGCAGGAGGGCCTGGCGGGTGTACAGGTGGCCCGCCCACAGCAACACCTGCGTGAAGTCCCGGCCGCACTCTGCGCTGGGCAGTGAGGAGAAGACCCTGATGGCCTCGAGGAAGTAGTGCTGGGCCAGCCTGCCAGCGCCTGCCTGCTGACACAGGGCCCCGAAGTTGGCCAGGACCACAGCCTGGTTCTGCCGCTGGCCCAGGCGCCGGGCTATGCGCAGGGCACGGTAGTAGCCCTCAGCTGCCCGCTGGGTTCTGCCCATCCGTTTCAGGGCCATGGCCGCCATGTTGGCCATCACACCCTCTTGGTCCTCACTGGCCACGGCTGCATCCAGGACAGACTCTAGGATGTCCAGGGCCACCAGGCTCTGTCCTTGGAGCATGTGCAGCCAGGCAAGGGCCACCAAATGGCCTACCACACGGTGCGCCCCAGCCGTGGCATCAGCATCCGCCGCCTGAGTCATAAAGGCGATGGCCTGGCTGCGCTGTCCATGGTGGCTGTGCAGCTGGGCCAGGCTGGCACAGAGGGCACCACGCAGCGCCTGCCCAGGGCCATCGGCCAGGGAGGTCAGTGCCTGTTTGAGGTAATGGGCCATCTGTGCGGGAGGGCTGGGGGCCCTGCTCTGGGCCTGCAGCTGGGGAGCGTTCTGCAGGACCAGGTCCACGCTGCGCAGGAAGCCGGCCAGCGTCCCCCTTGTGCTCAGCGCAGCTGCCCTGACGCAGCTCAGTGCCAGGTGGGGCAGGCACTTTCTGCTGTAGGTGTCCGCCAGGAGCAGGTAGCAGTCCATGGGCCATGCCGCACGCAGGGTCCCCAAGACCTTGTGCAAAACCAGCAGCCGCTCCAGGTAGGGCAGGGTCTCCTCGGGTTGCCTGAGGCGGTTGTGGTGCTGGGCCAGCAGGAAACAGGCCCGCGCCTCAGCCTGTGGGCTCTGGGCAACGATGGCCCGGCGCAGGGCAAACTTCAGGAGCTCAGCCTCGGCTTCGGTGCTGCCTGTGGGGCCAGATGTCCCTAGGAGCAGGGCTGCAGCCCTGGGCACTGCCTGTGCACACTTGTCCCTGTTCTTCTGCTTCAGATAGATGCTGGCCAGGTGAGTGTACACAGCCACCACCAGGAAGAGGTCCCGGAAGCTGCCCCCCAGGGCCCCCAGGGCTTCCTCAAAGTACACCCGGGCCTGGGACAGCTTGAGCCTCCGGATGCACAGCTGCCCCAGCAGGAAGCAGAGCCTGGCCAGGGCCATGCTGAGCCCAGCCTTCTTAGCCAGCCCCCGGGCCTGTGCCAGGTGGTCAGCCAGCTCTTCCTCGTCGGTGCTGCCGGTGGACAGGCTGCTCAGCCAGGAGAGTGGGGCATCATAGAGGCCACGGAAGCTGGCCTCATAGCCGGGAGCGTTGAGGAACTGCAGCAGCAAGCCCAGGGCCCCGGGGCAGGCCCAGCCGTCCTCGTCATCCAGGCGGAAGGGAAGCTCCTCGGGCGCTGGAGGGCTCCAGCTATGGGAAGCTGCTGGGGAGTCCCAGAGTACTGGCTCCGTGGGGCGGCCCAGGCAACCCTTGCACTGCTGAAGGACGCCCCGCACTGTCTGCAGGGTCTCTCGAGGCTCTGGGATTGGGGAAGCGGCCGGCACCTCTGCAGGTCACAAGAAGGCACCGTTGGTTAACACAGGCCCGGCTCCCACAGCCCTGCCCAGGCTGTGCCGGAGCTTGCGGTCTCTGCCCCAGTGCCCTCCTAGAGTCACTGCACCCTGTGCTGGGCTGTGGGATCACTAGAGGTCATGGGAGGGCCTGGGACTTGGTCACTAGGGCTCCAGGACAGACATGGCCCCATGGTTGAGGACAAATCTGGCATTCCCTCCCCTCCACACGTGCTTGTCCTCAGAGGCCCCTCGAAGGTCCCTTACCCGAGAGGATGGAAGCCGCCTGGCCAGTCTGTACCCAGCACTACAGCCCAGGCTTCGTATCAATGGCAGTCAGAGCTTTTGATCAGCCTCAGTTCAGAACCACCACACAAAACGGACAAAACTGGGTGGGGATGGGGCACAGGGTAGAGTGCACCCTGGCACGTGGGAGGTCCTGGGTCCATCCCCGGCACCAAAACCAAACAAAACAAAGCAGGACCAAAGCCAGCGCTTTGTAGGAAGGGCCGGTCTACAGCAGAGATGGTTGGTTCGGGACTCTGGGGCCACCCTAGCTGGGAGGGTTCAAAGCCAAGCCCTTCCCTCTCTGGGAAAGTGCAAACCAGCCGCGTTTCCTGCTGGAAAAACACAGGCCTCCCCCCAGGGATTATTTGGGAGCACCAGGACCAAACAGGCTACGAGTTCACACAAAAAGTGCCTTCAAAGCAAGCTGTCCCTTTGCCGCTGTGCAAAGCCTTGGTGTTAGAGAATAATCACACGTGGTCTAGGAGTGGGTCTGTCCCTGCCAAGCTAGCTAAGACCTCCCATGGGAGCCCCTAGGCTGCTTCCTGCTGCTGCCCCAGTATGGACAGCTGGATGCTCCCTGAGCCTCTGCCAGGGACCTGCAGGTGTGCAGCACCTGGGCAGAAGCAGCATGGTCCCTGGGTACCCAGCTGGGCTCACTCTCAGGGAACTGCCAACCCAGTCTCCCCCACCCCCACCAGGCAGATGGGGAGACAGGGCTACAGGGTGGGGGAGAGTATCTTGAAAGGCCTGGGACCTCCAGGGACTGGAGTGGCCCCAGGGGCTTCCTCTCTTGCCTAAGGTTCCAAATCCTAGCCCAAGGAGCAGCATGACGCTGCCTCCTGGCATCCGCTGTACCCAGCTCTGTGGCCTTCATCCATACCCCCAAGGCCGCAGGCTGAAGACCCCAAGGCCCCAGCAGTACTCACCTTGTTCCTGTGGCTGTGCACACTCAGCCTCTTCCAGTCTATCTGAGAAGGGAGAGAGGTATCACCATCTCCCTCTGGGACACAGGACAGGAGCATTGGCCACCAGAGCCCACTCGGGAGAAGTTGGCTCTTCCAGGGTCCCGAGCCTGTGAGAGGGCCAGCAGTCTGTCCCCACATGCCTCCATCCCTCTGTTCACTGGGGGGGGGGGGTCACACTGGCACCGAGGCGCCCTCATGCCCCAGCAGGCCGTACATGGCAGCAGCTGAGCCACACAGATCTGAGCCGAGTCGCCCCCACACTGTTAGGCTCTCCCAGGGAGGTCACCTCCCTAGCTCAGTGTCCGCTTCCTGGGACCAGCTGATGCTTGTGCTAGGTTGCCATAGAAACCCAATGAGGAAAAGCTGTGCAAAGCCTGAAGGGCCATAAACTGTGATAACAGGTGTTGGGCCAGAGAAATGTCCTGCTTCACCCACAGCCCACAGTGCTCCACCCAATGAGGGCCCCACTCTGGCTCCCAAGAGCCCGGCAAAAGCAGGAAAGCTTTGAGCCCCAGTGCGCATGCACAGGTTGAGTTAAGCCTGCCCGCTTAGGAGGAGAAACTCATCTGTGAGGTCTGAAGAGTTTAAAGCTAACATTCCAGAGGGGGAAGGGGGGGGGATGGGCAATGTATGTCACCAAGCAGGGTAAAAAGTTCTAGGAATGTATTGTACTCTTCCTGTGTGCACACATACATTCATATATGTGTGTGCATAGACGGGTACTTGCGTGCTCGTGATGTGTGCCATGTGTGTCGCATGCATGTATCACAGGGCTGGGTATGGTCATGCATGCACATGCATGTATCAGTTATGCACGTGCATGTGCAGATAGGCATGTACCTGTGTGACTGCATGTTTGTGTGTATACATGAGTGTGTACGCATACCTGTATGGACTGCATACATGTATGCATGTGCACCAGCGGGGTTTGCTGCATGTGTGTGGATGTGTGTGGGCACCCATGCTTGCAGCACATGCATGACCTGTGTGCGTGGTAATGGTACGTGGTGTGCACATTTGCACTCAGCCCTTGTGGCAGGATGAAGTGTGACCTGGGTACGGTGCCCGCACATCATGGGGGCCAGGTGCCTGGTTTGCCCCGTGCCACACCCTCGCCCTGCCCTTCTCCTGGACAGAGTCTTTCCTGTGGGTTGCTCCTGCATAGGCATCCTCACCCACTCAAGGTAAGGCAGGACGGTGCTGTCTTTCCAGGTGGCTTCCCTGTGGCTCCTGACACTCCAGGGGCCAGCCGAGCCAGGTGCTAGCTCAGGAGGGGAGAGGAGCCGACCAGGCCAAGCCAGGGCCAGGTTCCCGTGGGCCTCCCTCTGCTGGCCTTGCTGGAGCCAGGTCCCTGAGCTCCCCGTGTCCAGGGGAGGTGGGTACTTGGGGCTGCTGAGCAGAAAGACCCCAGCTCAGCCCACAGGCAGCATGGAGCCTCAGCCACCTGCCCTGTTCCCAGCGCCAAGCCGGTGGCACCAGAAATGTCAACCTGCTGTCCTGGACAGTGAAGATGGATAAACCCAGCACTGCCCACAGGCCAGGTGAAACGAGCCTGCACCTAGCGGACACCCTCGGTTCCACCACATGCAAAGCCACGTGCTCCACACCCTTCCACCCTGCCGCTGCCCTCCCAGGACTCTGCCTGGGAAACTCTCTGCAGCTACCACACGGGTCCTGAGACTCCGGCCACCCGCACCTACCCAAGCGGTACATGGAGCATATGTCCCTGCCCGATGTCCTGTCCAGCAGCTGCCGGGCATCCTCTGCAGAAAAGCATCCCTGGCTGCTGAAGAATGACCGTTCCTCCTCACCCAGGAAGATGGCGCCCTCCAGCCTGGAAAAAATGAAGAGGTTTATTTAAAACCCCGCCTGCATTTGCAGTGTGAAGTAAAACACAGGAGGTGCCGAAGGACAAGCCAAGAAGGTGTCGCTCGTGCTAACAGGTGGACCTCCGAGTGGAACCAGAGCTCGTGGGCCTTCCCAGGGTCAGGCGATACAGGCCAGGTTCCGGCATCCTACCACATCTCCTCTGCCTTAGCCCTTGTGGAGAGAGGCCTCCAAGGACCATGGCCTCTGTCTCCCTCCTGTGTCTCTCCGTCCCCACCCTGGAAGCCTGCTGACCCACTCCTGCCCGGGGGCAGCTGCCCTGCGCCCTCTGAATCGGGCCAGTTAGGTTTGTAACTAAAGTGGTCGTTTTGTCTTTTGACAAAAGTAAACACATCACAATAAGACCCTTCCTACGCCCACGGTCCCCACACACTAGAGTGAGACGCAACAACAGATTCTTCCCTCCAGCGGATGTTGGCCTGGCCTGGAGCAGACACGAAGGAGCAGAGGAGGCCAGAGGCTGTGAGGCAGTGAGCTCTGTGCAGCCTTCCCAGCCCCCCCACGCCCCCTCACCTGGGAAGCTGCATGACAGTGGCGCTGCTGCTCCTACAGCCTGTGCTGGCATGTGCCACAGGCAGAAAACAAAGAAAAGGCTAGCAGGTGCCCCACAGGGTCAGAGAAAGGAAGCGATAAGTGGAGAGGCAAGTTATGCCTCCGTGATGGAGAACGCCCCAAGGTGGGCTGGAACATTCCGCAGAACGACGGTCTTGTGCCTAAATGTCAGTGTCCAAAGAGAAAGAGACTGAAACCGCCTCGGAGGGAGGGAAGGGACAGCCGCAGCTGGGGAATTTCCCACCATGTGGGCATGAGTAGACCAGCTGGCAAGAGTTGAACAAGGCCTGCAAGCGCCGTGACCTTGATGACAGCCCACCAGGATGCACATGGCCGCCCCCGTGGGAGGACTTCGCCCCACATTATGAGGGGCTGGGATCCAGCGTCACAAGTGCTTGCTGAGTGAGCGAGCGACACCGTGGGGGCTTCTCGGGCTGCAACAGGACCAAAGGCACCGGTCCTATCCCTCTTCTAGGCCAGGCAGGGGGTGGATCTGACCACCCCACATGGGCCTGCTGGCCATGGCTTGGCCCACGCCTGTGCCATGCAACCAGCCAGGCCTCGAGAGTCGGAAGGAAAAGGCAGCTAGAGGTCAGGTAATAAGACACACGTCGGCAGGAAGAAGAAAGGTGTGCAGGCATCTCAGCTGGGGAGGCGTAGAGCACAGCCCTTTCTCTTGCCTGGGCAGGACCATCTGTGACGGCGCCGCTGGGGACATCTTTGGGAAACCCTGGGCCTCACAGCTGCCTGGCTTCTGATGGACAGAGGCAAGGAGCATGGACGTAGATTGACCTAACCAGGGGCAGAAGGAAGGGGGACGCACGAGGCACTGAGATCTGGTTCGAGAGGGGCAGCTTGTGCAGTGTCCAGCATGGCACAGGGCACTGGAGCTGTCTCACTGTGGGAGGTGCAGCCCCAGAGACAGCAGGATGGTAAGGACACCGTCCACACAGCCACGTCCTCCAGGCCCTGGGACCAAGGTGGGAAACACCCTGGGAAGCAGCTCCGTCCGGGTGCCACAGCGTGTCACTGACCACCCAAAGCTTCACCCTGCCGGTGGCCAGGGCTGGGCATTGGTGACATGGATGTGACCAGGAAACGCTCCCCTGGGAGTCCCTCCACTGGGGCCTAGGGACAGGCATGTCACAGATAGGGTGGGTGCACGTGCAGGGGACAGAGCTGGCCTGGGCACAGCGTCCCCAGGAATGGAGCTGCTACTGGCAACTTGGGGCCCTCCTAACAGGTAGAGGGTCAGACATGTCAACTCAGCCTTGTTACAAAGGAGCAGGCCGCTGATGCGTTGGTGAATGCCTGAGATCTCACATTCTTGGAGGCTGAGGCAGGACAATTGCAAGTTCAAGCCCAACCTGGGGCAACTTGCTCGGGGCCCAGTCCCCAGCACTGAGAAATCGGGTCAAGCCTTCTAGCCTAGCTGGGCTTGGGGCAAGTGGATGGTGAGCGGTGGCCTTTGACACTGAGGGTCACCAGGGCCTCAAAAGCCAGGGCAGAGCTTCAATGGGCTTTGTGAAGGGAGTGACATGGTTCACAGGGTTGAGAAGTGTCCCCAAATTCATGATTATTGGGACCCCCGGTACTGGCTGTTTGAGGAAGCTGGTCTGTGTGGATGCGGTGGTTGGACTAGGGCAGGCAGGAGCGGGGCAGCTTCAGAGCCAGTGCAGGCACCCGCCGAGACAGGAAACAGAGCCAGAGACACTGAAGAGGAGGCCACAGGGATATAGGCGGGGCTCGTGGGGATGCAGAAGCCAGCAGAAAAGGGGACAGAAAGGGCCCTGCGCCTCCAAGCACATAGGCCACCAACCACTGGCACTACGTAGGCCTGGAGGTCTGCACCGTGAGCCCCCAGGGGGTAACACCAGGGCAATCCGTCTCCGGGCACACCCTGCCACCAGCATTGCAGAAAGGACAGAGGGGCCTGGGTGGGCTGCGCGGGCACGTGCAGGTGTGCAGGTCTGTCATCAGGGTGCCGGCAGCCAGGTGATCGCAGAGCAGTGGGGGCGGACTCAGGAAGGAGTCTCAGTCACTCACTCAGATGTGGGCTCCTGTAAGCGGATGACACTTGTAGACACGAAACCCACAGAGCCTGAGGCCACGTGCCGGCCCACACACCAGGGCAGGCCAGGCATCTGGGCACTGAGGAGCTCCAGGAGGTCGCCGGTGCGGAGGGACAGCTCTTCGGGGCCCGAGCTCTGCCAGTCGGCCACCACGGAGGCCCGGCCGCGGCCTGCAGGAGGGGACACAAGGTCGGGGTGGGGCCACAGGGCACAGAAGGTCCCCTCTGCCCACACAGGCTCCCCGATAAGGTTGCCTGGTAAGGCTGGAAGGAGGCATGGCTCCCACAAGATGGAGGGGGTGTGTTCTGAGACAGGGTCTCACTATGTAGCTCAGCTGGCCTGCAGCTCACTGGGGTTCTTCTGCCTCAGCCTCCAAGTGCTGGGATTGATCACAGGCCTGAGCCACCACGCCCAGCTTCACAGGCGCATGTTTACCAAAAGCTGCAGATGGGAAACAGAGCCCCAGAGACCCGGCCCCACAGTCCAAGCCCCTCCTGGCCCAGAGACAGGCCCAGCAGCCTGCAGGGACTGGGGCTGCCAAGCAGCAGCCAGTTCACTGGGGTCAAAGCCTGACTCGCAAATCCGTCAGAGGGCTGTAGAAGGGCCATGCCGGCCACAGGTCCTCCAGCTCCTGGACATCCCTGGGGACTGCCCAGCCCGCCGTGGCTGGGGGTCTTCCCTGTGTGAAGTTCCATGTGTGCTCTATGGGGACAGTGACCAGGCTCTGCCCACTCCTAACCCATGTGCAGCTGGGCAGCCCAGGACCTGTGGGAGCGCGAGCACCCCGGGAAGGAGCCTGGCTTCCTGTTCTGGCTTGGGGAAGGCCCGGGGAAGACTCTGAGACTTCTGGGGCACTGGTGCTCCCCAACTCCCCAGGGAGGGCAGGTCAAGGGTGACTCACCCACCAGCAGCATGTCGGGGGTCCCAGGTCCACCCACGGAATCAGGAGCGGGATCCCAGGGGACCCTCAGAGCCCACCTGGAGCAGGGAGAGAGGTCTGAGCTGCAGATGCCGTTGGGGCAGAGGTGCCTGTGCCCTCTGGGCCCCGGGGCCTCCAGCACACACAGGCGCACCCCCACACCCCCGGCCCCGGCGCCAGTCCTAGGGGCGAGCAACCTGAAGTGGCTCAGTACTGGGGGCGTGAGGGGTCCGGGCCAGGGTTCCTGAGGCCACGACCCCCTCTGCCCTCCTGTGCCCTCCAAACGCGGCACAGCTCTGCCAAGTCGATGTCAGTGGCTGGGGGGCGGGCACCCTACGCCCCAGGGCCTGGGGAGTCCCGGGGCCCATCCCGGAGCTGTGGAGTGATCGCAAGGGCGGGACCTACTGATGGAATGGAATCAAGGGCTCCCCTGGTGCTGTGCTGGGGCCAGGGGCTGGGGAGCCTGCTGCTGAGGTTGTCTCTCCCTGGAGATCCCCCAAGGCCCATCTGGGGGGTGGAGGCCCCTTCTTTGCACCCTGGGCACCAGGTGTCACTCTCACGTGGTGGTCAGGACACAGGACGAAGAAGGGCCCTGCGCAGGGACAGCATTGTCAGTGGGGTGGCCATGCCAGGGGCAGCCCTGCCAGGCAGCACCACGTGGACCCCCACCCCACACGAGCCCCTGATCTTGCCAGCCCCAGGAATGAGCTGCTCAGTCTCTGGTTTCCCAGGAGAGTAGAGGAGAGTCTGGGGTCCCAGCTCTGCCTCAACTTGCCCTGTGGGACTGACTCCACCTCAGACTTTCTCTGGGTCTCAGTTTCCCCAAGTGTGTTATCCAGGGCCAGACTTTGACCCCCAGAGCTCTTTCTGCTCGGGCTGCCACCACCAAGCCTGGCCACAGCTGGGGGCCCCACACCCCAGCCTGTGTCCCGAAGACTGGTGGGGGCTCCAGAGGCCGACCCCGTGGACCAGGCTGCGAGGAGCTCTGAGCAGCTACTCCTCCTCCTCTGCTCCCTGCCAGGCCCCGCATTTCCCAGCACCTTGCCCTAAGTCCCTAGCCAAGGTCATGGCTGCTGCATAGCACGGCCCCACCTTCCTGGAGGAGGAGGCTCTCCTGCATCAGCCTCAGGGCATCCTCGGCCACCTGGACACGGATGGCTGCTGCCTCCTCCTCCTCGCTGGGCACCAGAAGCCAGAAGGTGGCGTCCACCAGCAGCGTCTCCAGGCAGTGGTGCGTGAAGCCTGGGAGAGGACACAGGTCACCAGCAGGCCCCACACACCCAGGGCAGAGAGCCCCGCACTCGTGGTCGCCTGGTCTGTCACTGTGCCCTGCGTGCCCGGGGCCTCTGTGCACCTGCGTGCTCACACATGCAGGTCAGGTCACCGGTTGTCCTGCAGCACAGATCTGTAGCACAGGCCTGCAGTGACTTCCTGGGTCCTCTGGGGGACCCTGTTGCCCACTCGGGGAGGGACCCCTGCTTTACCAAGGGTGTGGTAGGTGGAAAACTTCCATATTTCCTCGAAGGTCTTAAATGTCACCACGATCCGGTCCTGGTCACTGTGGATGGAAAGCAGCCTGGCCGAGAGTTCCTGGGGACAAACATGCAGGCTCTGGAGATGCCCAGAGCCTCGGGGTATCTGGGCACAGCCCACAGGCACTGCATGACAGGGCTCTGACTGGACGGTCAGCGCACAGTGGGTTTCTTTATGGCCCAAGCCTACTCCTCCCTCGCTCTCGAGCCGACTGTGGCTCCCCAGTGCCCGAGGACCCGGTCCGAGCTCCTCCTTCGGCCTCCTTGCTCAGCCCCTCTCCCCCTACACCTTCAGCCACTGCAGCACCTGAATCCCGGAAAGAGCAACACCAGCCAGGACTGTCGGCTCTGCCCGGGCGGTGCGCTCAGAGGCCTCAGTTTTCCCATCTGTGCTGCTCAGGCCCTCATGCCCACTCAGGCTCAGCTGTCCCTGCCTCCCCTCTCCTCTGATTTCCACGCAGCCACCTCCTCTGCCCTCCTGCAGCCCAGCCCCCAGCCCCTCCGGGACCCCGTGAGCAGCTTACTCCGAGTACACGTGCCACCTCCCGGCTGTCATTCTCCAGCAGGCGCAGACGGCCCCGCAGTGCCTGCTGCAGGCCAGGGTCCGGGCTCCTGCTCTTCCTGCGCACGGCCTGCAGCTGTAATGTCAGGTCTGCAAGGCGAGGGAGCGGGCAGTCAGCCTGGCCCCGGACGGGGTAACCCCCACCGTCCAGGCTCGAGGTACACTGACATGCTGGACCTGGGCTGGGTCATGGGGAGCCCCAAGGACAGGGTTTAAACCCCAGCAGAATACAGAGCTCCTGGGAGGCTCTCCCCAGCCACTGTCCCAAAACCACACGGAAGGGGGCCCAAGTCCCTCCGCACACAGCAGGAGGCACAGAGCAGCCACTCAGCGCTCGCCCTGTTACCGTGATGCCTGCACAGGCGCGCGTGGCAGACAGCCTAAGGCTCCTTTCCTCACACCCCACGTGGGCCAGCCAGAACCCTGGCTCCTGGCTCCACCCCTGCCCAGCTGGGCCACCTTGCC